TAAACCAGCAAAGGACCAGCATAAACCAGCAAAGGACCAGCATAAACCAGCAAAGGACCAGCTTAAACCAGCATCCCAGCGTCAAAACATACCTAACCAGCATATGCTGTTTTTTTCAACAGGGTGAGACATCATATTTTGCTTTAGGAAGAAATATAAGCCATTTTTTTAACCCTATAATGCCTACTGTATCTGATACATGAATTTCTATAAGGCCTCTAAATGATCAACTCGATCAAACTTTGCTGAAAAAAAAAAAACTGTTGTACACAATCTACTGCATACCTTCTGTCGTCTGATTTATAGTTCATAAAAGTTAAAGGACTTTTAGCATAATTGTACAAATCTTCCAGTTGTGGTTTACATGTCTTTCTGCTGTGAATTCTAATGATTTTTATAAAGTAAACATAACAACTTTTACCTTGTGATTAATATTTCTTCAAGATGAACATTCTCTGGAATGCTATACATGTTATATATATCCATGCATATATATTTTTTCATGTTAGTCAAATATGATTCATTAGGTTTTGAGGAACCTTTATTTATTCACCTCTTCTCAATTGTCATTGTATTGCATTGTACTTTATAATTTGCTCCTTACAATAAAAACTACAGAGCTTTGATCATAAAACTAAACATTTAAAAACCAGCAAATGACCAGTTTAAACCAGCACATGACCAGTATAAACCAGCAAAGGACCAGTTTAAACCAGCAAAGGACCAGTTTATATTTCTTCAAGATGAACATTCTCTGGAATGCTATACATGTTATATATATCCATGCATATATATTTTTTCATGTTAGTCAAATATGATTCATTAGGTTTTGAGGAACCTTTATTTATTCACCTCTTCTCAATTGTCATTGTATTGCATTGTACTTTATAATTTGCTCCTTACAATAAAAACTACAGAGCTTTGATCATAAAACTAAACATTTAAATATAATCTTATTGACATATTATTGGGATGTACAGAGTGACAGCTGACATGTATATGCATTTTATGTAAGTAGATTGTTAACTGTTAAAAAAATATCATTGATTTAGATTTTTTTTCTGCACCAGATTTACATATTTTTGCTTATTGCTTGGCCGTTATATTTTGTCTAAAGGTTCAGTAAACTATTCAAATCAATAAAACTAGATTATTTCTGACTATCATTTAATTTTTATTGGCAATTAGATTTATCGCGTCAGTTTTCTTTTAAAGCCGTGTGATTGGTGCTTCAACTACGGAAACATGGGAGAACTATTTTTCGAAATGTGTTTCTCACAAACAAAAGAACCAGTTATTACAGTCATTGTTTGCTAAGGATATTATTAAAATGCCCAACCAAATGAAACTGAGTGGAAATGATGAGGTTCAGTGTTCAGACGCGATGCTTTCAACTAAAGGTAAGTTCTGGGACTTGTTACTTTCTGTAAGCCTAAACACTTGCTAGCCTCAGGTTCACTCGTACTGTTAGCAAGATATTACATTAATGTATGGTCTTTAAGCAAATTATCTCGGGAACCTGATGATGATATGGTAATAAGGTTGGTCAGTTATGGTGTGTTATGCAATACGGAAGCTCAGGCCAAAGAAGTCGCATAAGTTGTGATGTCTATACAAGTTATAGGTGTTTTGTGTTGGGTTGGTGGTCTTTAAACCTCGTTTTGGTAAGTTAACGCCACTGACTGTGTGCAGCGTCATTGATCGTTAGTTGCCTTGTCCAAATACCCGCACTTGACCACTTGACTACTTAGGCCTATATGACCTATTTCCTGTATTTAGTCCAAGTGTTCAAGTGAGCATGAAGACCAGAAGTGTGTGGAGAACGTTTCGTTACCTGATGGGACGCACTTGTAAAAGTGTTGTAAAAATCAAGTGTTTACAGAGCTTTATTTTTATTTTCAATACTTTGCATTTTAAAATCAACTTCTAAATGTCTGTTCAGTAGTCCCTATAACAGCGCGCACGTGCTCTCAAGTAGCCAAGACCGCAAGTGTGGGCATTTGGACAAGGGGAGTGTAGTTTGCAGGTTCTCTCAGAAAAAGCAGGTGACTGAGTTATATTCTCGAATATTTAAATATGCCTAATATATTGAAATATGACACATTTATGCTCATGTTGGCAATTAAACAAAATACAAGAATTATGAGGAGCACCTAGAAACCATGTTGCATGCTCAATAATACACCTCCCATAACTTGACCTCTACTGTATGGATGAGTATAATATATTTTCGAATCTGATTGTTGAAGTTGTCAGATTTATGGGTTACATGGCAATTATTCTTCTGTTAATTGTTTACGTAATCACTCTTTTCCAACTTTCAACTGGATATATTTTATTCGAGCTCAAATTGATTGTTTTTCTTCCATTTGAGCAGTTTTCATGAAAGCTTTTTATTCTGATCAAGTTATGAGTCGGATTATTAATGGCTTATCAGACTGCATGTGAACAAGCTACTGAAATGGCTAAACCTGGAGTTATAAGATGACAAAATCTCCTCACGTATATGTTTTAATTCAAAACATTGTTTTGAATGCAATGTTAGGCTGTATAAATGTCAAGCTCGAAATATTCTGACTACACCAAAGAACCAAGTTCTTAATTTGATGGCAGATGCTTGTCAATTTTTATAAATCTTTTTTAACCATTCAAAGGCATCTGTTCTCAAAACCTTAAGCGTGCAGTAATATGCCATACTATGTTGTCTACACAGTAATTCAGACGCTAGTCATGATCAATCGTTAAAATGATGTTTAGCTTAATCAAACATTACTAACAATGCTTGACAGTCTTCATAGATCCTTTTTATACCTTTGAGCATTCAAAAGGATCATTACATGCATCAGATCTGCTGTTCACAAACAAACATTCAGCTGAGCAACAACTGTTGTTCTGTGGTTTGTCTGGAGGGTGTGTGTTTGTTTCTGTGTTTCTGTCTGCTCAAAGAGCCGTGCCACACAGCATTTACATGGTCTTTCATTCAGTGTGAATCTTTCAGGTGTGCGCCGTGGATCAATGGAGACTTTTTTCTTAATGAGCAGCTGCGGGTGCCTCAGATGCCCGTTAAAACGACACATCTGCACGGCTGAGTGAAGAAACTGCTGCTTATTTCCCTCAGCCTGTGTGCATAAACGGCTCTTTCAGCGGCATCCACGAATCGTGGCCTTGCTGGACGCTGATGCCGTAAAGTGAAGGGTAATTTGGGTAACGTTTGCCACAACAAAAGCCAAGCTGTCAGAAATGATTTCAAGCTGATTCCAATTTCAGGAGACAACATTACCTTCTGTATCCATTATCCACTTAAGTGTGAAACAAGATGTTACCTTGCCGAGTTCTGACGAAATTGAATGGGAGATGTCAGCGTTACACTGGGTAAAATCACAGCAGGACCCTCGTACTGTAGTCAGATCGCTTTTTTACCTGCTGGAAGTTTCTTTGGGTGGGTAATTTCATGCAGTAAGATGCTATCTCAGAAGAGGATTTTACACGCCAGCTTTATTCTGGTACAGACGTTTTTGCGGTCTTATATTCAACTCAATAGAGATAGGGCCTGTGTTTTTACATGCTTTAATAGCGTTGGCCTGCAGTATATTTTTAATGGTTGGGAATGGTATGGTTGGGCGGTATGACCAAAATTGTATATCACATATGAGTAATGGTGTATATCAGATGGTTTTGCTTGGAAATGCAATGGAAAAAAAAGCTCTATATATACACTAAAAAAATGATTTTTTTTTTTTTTTGAAGTTGTGCATCTAGAAACAAAGATTACTGGAGTATGTTTTACAAGATAATACTTGTCAAATCAACCAAATTTCAGAAATTTCCCTGGCTCAAATTTTTGATTTTGTTAATGTATTTTTCTAAAGAAAGACAAACATAAATAGTGATGAAAGCCGGAATATTCAATATCATAGATTTATTGAGTAATCCACTATTTTGTAAAATTGACATTTTTTCCCTGAGATTTGGAGCCACATTATGGGGGGTAAAAATGACTTTAGAAAGATTGCAGCATCATAATGTTACTTACACACAGAGATTGGTAGGTCTGTTAGTAAAATCTGTTGACTTTAGCCATATTTGTTGCATTATATGCCAATGGTGGCAGTTCAAAAATGGGAAAAAAGCATGGTTTTTATTCATTTTTTTTGCATGGATGTAATTTGAGAAGCCTTAAAGGTGTCTTAAGTAAACAGATTTTACTAATAGACTTACCAATCTCTGTGTCAAAGTAACATTATGATGCTGCAATCTTTCTAAAGTCATTTTTACCCGCTTGTAATTTGGCTCCAAATCTCAGGTGAAAGTAGTCATTTTTAACCCCCCTCTACAAAATAGTGGATTACTCAGAAAATATTTACCCATATCATTTAATATTTTGGCTTTTCTTTGTTTACGTATTTGTTTGTAAAATAAATTTAGCTGGTACTTCTGGTTGAGTTGACAAGGAATAACTCTATTTCAGTCTTTCTACTTCAAAATTTCATGTTTAATTCAATGTGTTACTCTCAATTTTTGTAATTATTTACAAATTATTTTTATTACCATTTGTGAATTTACTAGCAATTTATGAGTGAAAATGGTTTCTACTCCAATTAAACAAATAGAAAGCTATTTTTGGAGCTGGATGTTCACTTTTGACCATATAGTGTAT